TATGGCATAATCACACACCTCAAATGCATAATGATACATAAAACTTAGAGCCAAGTGAGGGGACTATTTCTAAAAAAAACCCAAATGCCATGCAATTTGTTATTCTTCTTATATGGTCTTCCAAACTAAGAAGTGTAGCTATACCATAAGAATGAAGCATTTTTTTCCATTACCCAATCCTTATAAACTGTTTGGATAAGAAGCACATGTGCTGAGTGGAAGAAGAAAACCATTGTGTTAAGCTAAAAAATATACAAAATTTAATTATAAGTCAATTATCCAATGTCCTTACATTATCTATATATATATACACACACTTATTATCCAGTTCTTACTATATCTAAAATAAACAAATAAAAATCTTACCTGGTCTTTCCACTTTGATAACTTCAGCCCCTAGATCTCCCAAATTCATTGTGGCAAATGGTCCTGCAAGAACCCTTCAATATGAAAAAATAATATTGTTTTCTTAGTTTTTCCAATCAGAATATTTGCATTTAGACACACTGTTACAAATTATAGACAAAACACAAACCTTGTTAAATCAAGAATTTTCACACCATCCAATGGCTTTACATTACTAGCACCTGACAAGAAACAAAAACAATGTTTTCAATCTCAAAAAAAAAAACCAAACACATTGTTTTTAGAACACTCATCATTCTCCCTCATCTCCCTTCCCTAATAAAGGATAACAAAGCTTTCTCAACAAGCTGGTTATTAGGTGCATACTACATTAGTAAAGCCTTTCAAAGTTGGAAAATCTTATGTATGACATTTCAGAACCTATTCTAACTCCCTAGCAAGTCTACAATAAAGCTACTTTATAGCAATACTTTATATGTGCCTTCCACAAACACTCAAACAGTTTTTAAAGGCTAATCTGAATCACACAAAGTGTGAATTCTCACCTGTGTAGACCTATTCACTTGCATCACACACACACACACAAAAAGAACATCCCCTTTACAAAACTTAAGGCAGAATACATGAGCCAAAGAAACACTTTCAATGGAAGCTGCACATGCAAGATAATTACTAAGAAATCACAATGCTTTCTTCCTTTCCCTCACCCTTTCCAACCTGACCAGGTCTAAGAAACAACAGTAATGGCAATAAACATCACAGACAGAGCAAATAATCTCACAGTCTAGACCACAGGTTGGCCAACTATTTCTTTGATGGCATTAGGTTATCTTCTTCTCCTTCAGTCTTTAATTGAAGGCTAGGGACACAAACACTTCATCATCCTGTGAGGATGGTCATTCAGCTACTGTTTGGAAGGTGGTCTCTCACACAAAACAAAAGCACCTGGCCAGTAACACCACTAAAGTGACACATACCAGCTTGTGACCTCTTTTTGGAGCTTGTCCTGGTAAGACAAGGATGTAAAACATACTGTGGGGAGAGGGGTGAGTGGGTGGGAATCAAACAAACCACATTCATTCAAAGCCTGCAGGACACTGTGGTGCATCTCCTATATCATGCAGCAGTGCATGCCTGTACCACCTGCTCCACATTCCCTCCATTAGACCTGAACCACCATTCAGTCACCCTCATAACTCTCCTTCCTACATATGGGAAGAAGATTTATATCAAGAGAGAAATAAAAGAAAGGTACAGAGAAGCAGCAGTAGAAATTCAAGGTTTCTGCTAAAATATTTTCATTAACTGTACTGCCCTCAACGAGGAAACTTGCATCCCATTGTTCAACTTGAAGAAATTTTCCTCCATTATTACCACTTACTCCAGGGAGATTTCCATTTAACAGGTTTTGTGCTTTAATATAATATGCAGACTGAGCGGCATGTTGAAAACATATACATCTAGGGCACGTGTTTTGCACTTTCAAAGCCTTTAGGAAAACCTAAAGGCTACTACTCTCCAGTGGTTGCTACTCCTCTTCAGTGCTCCACACCTCCATGGGTTCCAGACGTTGGAAAACAGTTCTGCCAGGTAAACACCACAGACCCTCCAGTATAACTTTAGTTTTATCAAGTTGGATGCAAAATTTTCTCCACAAAAACCTCTACTCTTCTTTCCAAAAATATGTAAAAAGCTTTACTGAAGCTCCCCAAAAATTAAAAATATGTAATTTCAGCTTAAAAAGGTCCATCTTGCTCTATTATTTCCACACCTTTTAGAGCTGCACTTTGATAGCTCACCTATTCTCATCCTGAACCAATATTTAGGGCTACTCACAGATACACTATCAGAACAATAGCAACTTTTCAGAGCAAACAGGTTCTCTGCCTGCAGTCAAGTTGTAGGAATCTATGAAGATATTTCTCAAAAAAAGCCAGAAAAATGTTAAGATTATGCTGTAAATATGTATTTATGCATAACTAAAACTGATGAACCCTTAATAACTATCATATGACTCACATTATGGCATCATCTAACACTTCATTCAGGGGTTAGGACTCTTCCACAGCTGGAACAGAATAGGAGAGCACAACTCTTGCTCTGAAGATAAACATATCATTGTGTTTTGGTTTTTTTTAATGACAGTAAATAACAGATATCCATGATGATGAAGAAATGCAAGAAAGATCAAAAGTTTTCTTTTGAAAATTGAGGAACAGACCTGTTAGTCTCTTCAGAATAAAAGAACGCAGATGTTCAGCAAAAAAAATATATATGAACTAGATTATATATGCAGTGTGACACTAATTTGCTGAAATAACTGCAGTAGAAAGCCTTTTGACATCAGCAGTTCTGGTACATGAATCCTGAATAAGGGAGTATTATCTATTGTAGGAACAAAAAGAAACAAAACCACATAATAAACAAACACAAGAGATCAGAATTCATCAGCATTAACTAGAAATATCTCCTGAGTTTTTACTTTCATCACTAGCTTCCTAAGCAGGGACATACCCAAAGTTAGACTTCATTAGAATTCTTACTCAACAGTCTTAATTTTTAAAATGCAAACTCACATTTTCTCTTGTATTTTTGCTTTTATTTATACCAGTAACTTGATGACTGAATGAAAAATCACTCTCCCAGCTCTAACTATATCTTCTGTGTAAGCTCTTGATTCCCATGATGCTTGAATTTATTGTGAATTAGACTATCATATGTATCTTTCATAAATAACTTTGATTAAGAATAAATAAACCCTTTTGCTCTCAATATGATTTACACTCTCTAGCTAAGCTCAATAGCTTGTTCCAAGATTGGCCGAGTCTAACAATACAAATAAGCAACCAACAGAGAGACCATTCCATAGAACAGAAACCAATTCTTGTGTCATATTCCAAAAATATTTTCTTTACACTTGTGGCAGAAGAGGGCACCTAGAAGAGAGAATTAATATTTGCAACAATGCAAATTAAGAATACCATTCCAATTACTTTCAATTCCAGAGGATACGACTGCTGCACAATCAGCACTTTTTCACTTTATCCATGCAGTAAGTTATAATCAAGTCCATCACTACCGTGGACTAATTCACAATCAGTGGGTACACTCCAGCCTGGAACACACTTGGTGTGTTCATAGTAGGAGGCACAACTGCAAACTTCCTCCGATTCTAGTGCCAGCAAAGCTATTGTTACTATTTTTCTGTTATTTAATAACAGAGAAAGTTGAAGCCAGAGAACAATGAATTTGTTGCAGCTTTGATTTATTTCATTTCGTTTTTCAAAAAATTTAAAAGCACAATTGCAGGCAGTTGAACTTTGGTAACCTTACAAAAAGATGGGGCCTGGAACACGGCGTGCCATTAGCCGGGGCTGCCAGGAGAGCCGACACGCTCCGTGTCACAAGCGGCGCGTCCTGCGGGCGAAGTCCAAGCGCCGAGGCCGTCCCGGGGCTGCGCTCAGACCCCCTTGGCCCGGCCCTCGCAGGAACCTCCCGCAGGTGTTTGGCGCCCGCGCCCCCCGAGAAGCGGCTCCGACCCCCGCCCCAGCGGCACCGACGGGGTCACAGGGACAGAGGGGCCCGACGCGGCGGGAGAGGGGAGGCAGAGGAGGAAGAGGAGGAGGAGGGTGCGGCACGGCTCGGTACCTGCCGGGGGAGCGCCTCCGCTCCGCGCCCCGCCGCCGCTGCCCGGGGAAGGGGAGGCAGAGGCAGCGCTCAGGGCTCTGGCGCAGCCGCCGGCAGCTTCGGGGCAGGGGCTCCTCCAGAGCCCCCCGCAACACCGGCTCCTTCTTCCCAGCCCGGCGCGCAGCATCCCCGCCACTCGCGACAGCACCGAGCGCTCGGCGCAGGCGCCGCCGCCCTCTTCCCGTCCCGCTCCCGGGACAGGCTCGGATCTCCCGGGACGGGGGGCGCGCAGGCGCGGGCGGGAGGCCCGAGACCAGCGCCGCTCCCGGCTGGGTGCCCGCTCCGCGGCACGGCGGGACGGGGCGCCGCTCCTGTGCCATCAAGCGCTCTCGCCTGGACTTCAGAAAGCAGGGAGGCGTCCTGCAGATGTTCGCGACGGGAATTCCGCTCTTTGACGGCTGGAAATTTATACTTCCAGCTCGGCGTACATACAACATTCCAGCTCGTGACATACAGCATTGCCAAGGTAGAATAAAAGTAAAAACCCTTCCACCACCACCAGCACCCGGAAGGGTTTTCCGCACTTACCAAGGCAGGTAGCCGCACTGGATGCGCTCAGCGGCACGAGGGAGATCTTTCCCCTCATTTCGCCGTCACTGAAGGTGCAATATCACTCACACTGTAAGCTGTATCTTCAGCTGGGTGTAGTTATGGAAGGGTTAGCTTGAACTGACCTTTGAGCAACTCTTCTCTGAACGAAGTACCCTCAGACTACTTTTAGTCTGTATTAGGACAGAGGAGAAGACTTGTTACAGGAACACCATGGTGTCTTCTTGCCTCTCTAACAGGATAAAAAAGGCTGCATAGAGGTTTGGCATTTGTTTGTCTGAAATATGTGAGGATAAGACAACTCCTGTATCTCAAAAGCAACTGAAACTTCTGACTGCTTGAAAATGAGCATGATGAGCAGCACAGGCTTAAGACATGTCACATGTCAGTCTGCCTAAATGCGGAAGAAGAACATAGAGAAAATCTACATGACAGGTTTGTTGATTGGATGTGCTGTGTGTAAACAAAAGTACTACATGGATGCTTTAAATTTTGTCAACAAGAAGAAATTAATCAGCACAATTACCCCAGTATAACTCAACATGTGCACAACGGTATGTATTTCTAATTCATATGGTATGAAAAGGGTTTAAAGTAAACTGTGCTTTTTTGGAATGAGACAGATAATTTGGTAAGTTACATTGATAAACTGGCTTCTGTAGACATGGCATACCTTGTGTGCACAATAAAAACAGATAGTCTTCCAGACTAAAGGATTATCAAAAAATGTAAATGAGCAGCTTTAGTCTCTTTCTATTTTAGAATTTAAAAGATATTGCCTCATTTTTCACAGAGAGATTGTATAACATAGTGGGGAGGTGAGTTCCCTGTGAATATAAACTTAGTGTTTGCTGTAAACACATTGTAAAAAAACAAACCAAAACCTGTTTAAAGCTAAAGAAAAGCAAGACTGGTATATAAAGCACAGAAACTTTCTGCTTATTTTAATAGTTAACTTTTATTAACTGCTGTTCTGAAAGCCCTTCTTAATTTTCCTATGTTGCAATGTCCTAAAACCAAGTAGTGCTTTGTTGTACTGTCAGAAATAAATAACAATAAAAAAATCTTTACCATTTTTTCAGAGCTGCTGAGGATTTGCATTAATATGTACGTGAGAACAGAGCAGGAATGTGGAATAAATAACATTGTTAAATTGACTTTGTGCTAAATGTGAAGTTCTCCTACGAAGTAGCATTTTGCCACCAGTTTGTATGAGTAAGTTTTGCCTGAGCTACCACTCAATTGCTGACAGTTCAAACTGATTTTGAGGAAAACCCTTTCATTAAAGTGCTGTTTAAATGTCACTGTTTTTTCAATCGGGACTGCCGCAACACGTAGCATTTGCAGGCTCAGACTCCAGAACAAAGGCGCACAATGAGCATATCTGTAGTGACAAGAAATGTGAGGCAAACACTCGCTTTGCTTTACAGGAGTTCATTTCGTCGTTTTTAGCAGCTGTAGAACCGCGGGCATTCGCTGACAGCCACGCTGAGCCCACGGACGCCGTAAGCCCCATCCTGTGAGTTACCAGGCATCTTCTGAGACTCCTACTCCAGATTACTCCTCTTCAGCTGAAGGAGCTCAGAACCCCTCGGGCTCGGCTTGCCGGGTGGCTGTGTGAGGCTGCTGGGCCCTCTCTCCCGCCTCCCGCTTCCAGGCGGGATGGGATGGACGGCGCCTCGCCCTCCCGCCGCGGAACGTTTGGAGCCCGGAACCTGCCGCCCGTCCGCCCGGCGGGGAAGAGGCGGGGGAAGAGAAACGAGCGGACGCGGCGTCGCCGCCATTGCACAGGTTCCGCTCCCGCGGCCGCCATTCTCGGCCTGTCCCGGCCATGTACCGGCCGGGATTCCGCGCACCGACACCTCCCTATGCGGGCGGCGGCTTCCGGAGCCCTCCCTCCGGCGGAGGACCCTTGCCGCCCTCTCCGCGGGGCTACGGGAGCCCCCACCACACGCCGCCCTACGGCCACCGGCCCGGGCCGTACGGCAGCGGCCTCTCGCCCCGCGGCCCCGGGTTCCACGGGCGCTTCGGGAGCCCCTCGCCGGGGGCGCAGACCCCGCGCAGGCCGCAGAGCGTCAGTCCCCGGTACCCGGCTCCGTACGGCGGCTCGTCCCCGGCCGGGGCGCCTCTGCACCCGCCGCCGCAGCACAAGCGCTCGCCCGGCGGCTTCCAGAGGCACTTCCAGGTATGGGGCAAGGCGAAGAGGGACACGGGGAGGAAGGAAAGAGGGAGGGGGAGAGAGAGGGTGGGAGCTGCTTCTAAGCGAGGCCCGTAGCCGGCTGGGGGAAGGCACACCGGGGCCTTGTGTCAGCGCAGCATCCACCCGCCAACACGATTTTCAGGGAAGAGCGAGGCTTGAACCTCACTGGGCAACATCAGCTTTTCCCCCGCCCATTCCCCCGCAGTAGAGAGGACGGACAGAGCACCGGTAGCTGTGAGATGAGGAAAGGGAAGAGGGCCCTAGGCTGGCGCAGCTTTCTTTTTCATATTCTGGCATATGAAGGTAGAGAATTAAGCACCGGCCAAAACGACAGCAATCACCTTCCTGCCTCCCTCTGATCGGTTTTCTTTAATGCAGTGGTGAAGGGTGGTGTGCGTTTACTTTGCCCGGGTTGTCGTTCATCGTGGGAGCTGCCCTATCCACACCCTATCCACACGGAGTTTCCAGGCACACGGACAGAGAAAAGGAGTGCTCCATTAAAAAGAATTAAGCTGAGGCTCCTTTAAGCAGAAGCATCTGTTGTGGTAATAGACTCTCATTTTAAAGTCTTTGCTTTGCATTGAAAGCTTCCTGAAAGCCAGCAACAGTAGGTTCTATGAGTTAAGCTTTTTTCCAGCAGTGTTAGTTGTCATATGTGACTGGCAATGCACACAGGGCAGGGATGGCAGTTCTCAGGAGAACAGCTTTATGTATATAACTGGCTTTATGCAATATTAGAGAAGCCTTAAAAGTGTAACAAGTGATATGAGCAGTACAATGATAATTTTTTTTGTGCTCTTATTGATACTTGAAGGATTAAATATGATAATGAAGTCACATCTTAATAGAGATTAGTAAAATCTTAATGTGCCTGCACTGCATTGTAACGTGTCCACTGAAGACTAGTATTTTGTTATTTTCTTATGATGCAGTTAACTCATAAATCTCATAGCTGATGAAAGGGGATCATTAGAAAATTTATACATTGTCTTCAGCACAACAGAGACTTTCCTGGTGTGGAAGCTAACAGATTGCATAACCTCAGTGCCTTTTGAAAAAGCCAAGCGTATGGCATTTCTGCTGCAGATTATGGAGGGACAATTTATGTCATTGATGTCTAATTTCCTTTTAAAAGATCATTCTTTGGCTGTTCAATTAAGTGGTTTTTTCAAAGCCTGCCTGTCATGGCTTGGCACTGGCACAGTGCCAGTGCACCCATGAAAATGTATTCTCTCAAATGATTACTGTGAGATGTGACCAGAAACCAAGCAGAGCAGGCTCAAGCCTAGAAATAAAAAAAAAAAAACTTTATTAACCTACACAATAATAAAAGGAATACACAAAATTCAGAATGAAAACATTGATTCCACCTCCCCCCACCAAATTTCCACCAAAGCACAATGAGACAAAACCTTGGATTCTCAGTCAAGTTACCACCTCTCAGATAATCAATTCTCAGTTCATCAAGGGAGAGAGGAGTCTCTCTTGTACCATAGTCTACCACAGGAAATACAATTGAAACCTTTTGTGTTTCCATGTCACACGTGGCACCACCTGGAGAAGATCTGCCATCCTGACATCCTCCTTCTATGTACAGTGCTCTCACCACTGCATATGGACCAAAACTGCTTATAGGGTTCCTTTTAGGGATGCTTTGCCAAGTACCAAAAAAACAACTGTTTCTCATTTTGGGACAACAGTCTCCCCCATTTTCACCTCCCCTGCAGCCAAGGGTCTTCAGAACAGAGATCTTCTTCCCTGAAGGTGGAAGGCACCCCCACACCTTCCTCATCTTTGTTCACTTCACTTCACTCCTGCACATGGCACCACTGCAGCAGGTCACTCTCACTCCTGCACTGGCAATCACTACAGCAGGTCACTCTCTTGCTCAAACCATTCCATCCCCCTAAATGCAGTCTCTGTGTCACATGAAAAATTATTCTGTCCATGGCTATACAACAAAAGTCCGGCCAAAGGCCACTCCATCATCTCTTCCCACCTAAGATTCTTTCCTATATTCTTCTGACATCTCAGGTCCCAGGCTGTCTCTCTTCTCTTTGTGATCAAGGAGAACTAGTGTTTCACAAGGTTTTCTTTGTCTAAGAAAGGGTTGAAATCTCGGGCTCTGCTGCCCTCGGGACAGCTGAACTCGCACCTCCCCCCTTCTCTTCCTCCTCTGCCTCCGTGCTGCCAGCTCTCTCTCTCTCTCTGGGGAGGGGGCTGCCTGGGACATCCCACTGTTTCTCCACCCCTCCGTCGTGTCCTGCAGGGGCCCAGGGGCCGGCCTGGTTCCTTTCCCTTTCTCCCCCTTCTCTGTCCGGGCACCCGGCCTACCTCAGCCTAGGCCACATGGCTTCCCCTCCCCTACCCAGCCTGTGGCCGGGCAGGGGAGGTCCAAACTCTGCACTGACCAGAAGGAAAGAGAAAGTCCTCTGGGAGTTCTCTGCTTTTAACTCCCTGTGATCCCAGAGGTGTATCCATGTCTTCAGTGGTTACACCAGGTGTCAATATTCAAACCTGACCACTGATTGGTTTGGCTGGAACTTCACGAGAAACTCACTTCCCTGTCAACGGACTGTGCCTTAAAATTAATTGAGCAGAAGAATATGCAGGAATCCTTTTGTCTTTCGTTTTAGTCAGTTTCATGTCAGCACCTGAGGATGGGAACCTTCCCATAGGCTCCATTCTTGATGTAAGAAATCTGACATAAAATCTGGTTACATTCTGAGGTAAGAAACATGACATAAAGAAGGTACAAGTTTGAATCCAGTCTCAGACTGTCACAACATTCTCTCCCCTTTCCTTCTTTAGACCTTGTGTGTAGTTTAGGAGCACTGGCCTGATGGCAGCTCCTTCAGAGACTCAGAGGATATTGAATGTCTGTAGCTTTGCCCAGGACTGAAGAAATGTGTGAGTCTGCACTTTGCGTGTACACATGAGCTGTTCTGCCTGGGAGGGCAGTAGAGGTAATCACAGAGGGAATTAGTCTCATAAACCATGAGTCCCCATCTGCTTAGGTGTGGATAAGGATCTCTGCCTATGAGGCCATAAATAGATTCAGATGGAAAGCCCTTTTGCATTTTCTGAGCATCAGGTTTCTTGTGAGGCATGTGCATTGTCCCCTCTCCTCTGTAGATCCTGTTAAGTGAACTCCAATACCTTTGACATTTATGATGCTACAGTCACTTTTGAGATTAAAGTCTTAAGTGGCCCTTTAAAATTGCATTGGAAAATCCAAAAGAGAGTTTATGTTTACCTTAGTGTTCTATTAGTGTCATGCCATTAGCATTCTGTACTCATTTTGTGCTGGAAGATTTTCATTCTTTGAAACAAACAGAAAACTTGAAGGAAAACATACTGAGCTTGTTTTTTTCTGAAATGGCTTACTCAGCCTTTATGTGGCCAGTAGTATACAGCACTTTCTGGTTTTTCCACAGAGGTGCTTTATATTTTATGAAAACATGTTTCTGGAAACAAGGGCCTGTAGTGACAGGACAAGGGAGAATGCCTTTAATCTGTAAGAGAGTAAGTTTACATTGGATATTAGGGAGAAGCTCTTTACTATGAGGGTGGTGAGGCACTGGAACAGGTTCCCCAGAGAAGTTGTGGATGCACCATCCCAGGCATTGTTCAAGCCCAGGCTGGATGGGGCTTTCAGGAGCCCAGACTAGTGGGGGGTGTCTGTGCCCTCGGGAGCAAAGTTGAGACTAGATGATCTTGAGGTCCCTTCCAACCCAAACCATTCTGTGAGTTCTCATCTCCACTTAGAATTCACTTAGAGGTAATGTTTTATTCCTTACACTCAGCAGGAACTATTGAACTAGCTGCTAGCAGCAGCTATGGAATGGTATGGATCAAAAATTGTTACAGAAAGTAAAAGAAACACCACCCTTTTGAAATGATACAGTTGTGGTTTTTGTGGTCTCTGCATATGCCAGTGGCTGTAATTACATCAGGCAAAGCAAGCTGATAAAGGGAGTGACTGTCCCCAATTTCAAGGCAATATTACTCCACTCAGTAACCCTTTAATGAATAGCAATTAAAGCTGTTGTTTTCTGCTTCAAAGAGAGATTTGTTATCTAGAGAAAAAGTACTGAGAATAGATTCACTTTTTTTAAGGAAAGTTCATTGAGAAAATGCTGTTGGCATAAGTGACAACTAATAGAAAGTTTTTTTAAGCTATCTTTGGTACCAGATAGTGCCTCTTGCACTGAATGGTTTCACTTGTACAGGTAGAGCCGATTTCCTTTTCCATTCGTCTGTAACATAAATAATCACATTTTGGTTTTCTTCCCTAAAAATAATTTAGAGGGGAAAAAGCATGTGATGACTAGTATTCTAAACTTAATCTACATGCTTACATGTACTGTAGGCTGTCAATCTTGTATTACAGAATAATAAATTTCCTATATTTCAAAAATGCTAAAATTAGTGTAATGTCAGTGTTACAGATGACCTGCATCATACTGTAGTGAAATTAAAGATTATTAAATAAATCCATATGAATGAGCCTTACCATTGAATTATTTTGCTCCTTCCCTGAATACTGCAGATCATTATATCAGCTCATGTTTCTTTTGCCTTCTGCAGATTAAACATGGCAATAAATGAGCTCCACATTCAATCTGTTTTACAATGTCAAAAGGTCTTCATTAAATGTGGTAATTTAGGGATGGTGGAGTTTTGTGTTTATTTAGGACAGCATGCACTGGGTACTGCTTTTTCGCTACTAAATGTGAGTACTTAACATAAATGTCACTTGCTAGAGCATGTCAGCTTATTCTAGGAAACTCCATGCCCCTTAGAGAGTTTTTAGATGTATTCTGAGGTGATTCGCTGACCCTCATGGGGTTTGATACAGTATTGTAATTCGCCACCTTTTAGAAATTCTTGTGTGTTGAGATCATCCTCTTAGCTACATAACCTAGCTGCAAAGAATCATCAGAAACAAGTTCTCTATAAATAAGACACGGATGTTCCCACATTTGATCATGTGTCCATTATCATCAAACTTCAGGAGCTCCTGAAAAGTTCTCGCTGGAAACACATTGACACATTCCTGCCACAGCACGTTAGCAGAAATAGGTTCAAGCTGTTTGAGTGAAATCTATTCTTCTGGCTAAACACTGGGTCTTTCACTTTATGGCACCATATCTCAGTTCTCCTCAAAAATTGTTTTACATGATCTATTTACATAGATGTTAGGGCTTATAAGTCAAATTCAAATACCATCACTGCTGATCCAAAAATTCAGAGGTGGCCGGGTTGTGGGGGAAAGCAGCCATTAATCAAGTGCTTTTACCCTGTTTTACAAAATCTGATAACCAGACTCAAGGCATCCTGTTGCTCTGACCATACAGAATGCAATGGGCATGCCTGAAGATTACTGTGTATCTGGGTAGTATGGGTTGCTTAACTTTGGTTGAAACAATTTAAATAAATACAGATTTAGATAGAACTTCACCTTTTAGAGGAGTGAATCTGAGGAGAACAATAGATGATGCTAACAGGTGAAAAAGATTATAGAGCTCCTTTATGTCAGCACTCTTTAAGCTGCAGACTTGTAGCAGCTTTACAGAAGCAATTGTTGTGATCCTTGATCTAAAAAAAAAATCAAATATGAAAAGTTCCCTGCAAAAGCCAATACCCAATAAGTCACTGATTACCACTGAGATTGTATATAAAATAAAGTCACGGGTTTTCAAATTTCACAGAATACTGGTTTGGCTAAAAGAAGATTTTTTTTTCCCCCAATGAAATCTTTGTAGCTATTTGCATTATAGAATGCTGTGTTCAATTTGTAAGTACTTAATATTTGACTTCTGCTCTTTTTAATATTGTCAGCTCTTCGTCAGCCTCTAACTCCCTGTTTTGTTGTTCAGTTTTTTTTAGACATGTTGACAGATTATGAAAAATAGCATGAGCTGCTTTTCTGCAGCTATATGCCAGATTGATGTAAACAAGTATTTGGAAGAAGATTGTGGGTAGTGCTTTTTTCTTATCCTGGTAAATCATCACTTAAAAGTAAAATACATTAAAGTTAATATTTCCTGAGGAAGATGCAAGATGTAGTAATTAAAATTAATAATCAGCTTCAGAGTTCTACTGCAGTAGAAGGAAACATTTTACATTTTTTTTACATTTTTTTTCTTAGTTTGAATTAGACTATTAAATGTTTCTTTACCTGATGATTTTCTTCCAAAGGGATCACCCAGGACATCTACTCCATTTGGTACAGCGCATGGCAGAGAGAAAAGAGTCTCTAATGATGTGGAAAACTATTACAGACCTTCAATGCTTGAGGACCCATGGGCTGGCCTAGAGCCAGTGTCTGTTACAGACATAAACCAGCAATACAGCAGTGAGCAAACAACATGTACTGGTAAAAAAGGGAGGTATTTCAGCTAACACTTTTAAAGGCCAAATAATTCCATCTTGTCAGGAAAACTTTGGGACAGAATCTTTACACTTACACAAGATGAACAATAATCAAGACCTTAGATAATACTTTTATTTCATCACATGTCCACCCTTTTATCCTACCTTTTTTATTGCATTGGATATTTTTATGTATGGGAGGCAAAAGGAGTGGTAGGAAAACTTACATTTCTGGCTATGTGGAAGTGCCTACCAGCTCTGAAGAACAGTGTTCTTTAATCACCAGCGACTGATTTGTGACTGTTAAAGCAAGTTTCCATATACTTACCTCTCCCATGCCAGACTGTTAGCCTTCTATTGTAAAGTCTTTTAGGAAGTGGTATTTTTTATGTTTCAACATTTTTAGATTGAAATAACTTGGAAATAAAATAAAGTTTTGTAAATCTTTGTTTTGTAATGTATAAAGAATATTTTAGGAGCTTTGTTAAGGTGAACACATTAACACAGTAATTCACAACACTGAAATTAGGTGACTTCTGTAAGTGTGCTTGTATGCTGTAGTTAACATCTGGTTTTGTGCATAATAATTTTTGTTAATTGCAGTGTAATGTGAAATTGAAACATGACTTATAGCCATCTCAGGAAACAAATGTATTGGTTTTGGAAAGTTTAATTTGTTGAACAAACTCAAGTCACAAACTTAATTCTGGAATTATTTGCTTTTGTGTTTAAAAATATATATATTTAGATCAGTATTAGAAATTTCTGGATTATAGTAACAAGTCTGCTCATTGACAGTTTAAGTCTAAAGAACGCATAAAACATCAAGCTTAAGTAAATGCAAATTTTCTTTCTGGATCCACCTGCTAGAATAGTACAGAATGAGTGACAGTTTTTGTTACACAGTTGACATTAGTACGTGCATTGCATCTTTTTTTAATCCATTTTATATTTTTCAATTATTTTTTATTTTTACTTAGAGCAGGCATCATTGCCAGGAGAATTGATTTGTGTGTGTACATGCTATATTTTTATACTGAAGAGGAAAGCAATGCTTTGGGTTTTTTAGAGCTTGTCTTTACATGGAAGATCCATGCTTAAATTCAGGAGTGAATATCATAATCTAGAATAAAAAAGACATAGTTCCAGCTGCAGGCATGTTCTTAACTTGCCGTGTTACAGCTGCAGTATTTAGATAAATTTGTTGTTGAACTTAACACTATTTGTTTGTTGATCTTGGCTTTTAAACCAAGGTAGAGTGTAAAAACTTTGTTAAATAAAACCATTAGTTTAGTTTTCAAAATACATGTGTTCTTTTAAGCTTCTTATGTACTCAAAACTTATTTTTGTAGTCCTGAGGCAGGATTAAGTAGAAAAGCACAGGAAATCCCATTAAACTGTTCTTAGTAACTTGTCTTTTGCTGAGGTAGAATAGTCCTCTGTACTCTTTATCTGTTTCAGCATAAGATGTGTTAGGTTAATACTGCCTTCAGGAACAACTTCAGACTGTAAGGGGAGCTTAATATGTTCAAATGTTGTGACTCTCTTGTACTCTTAGGACCACAGTCTAAAGTATGTCACTTGTGTGTTCCCCTGGTTCACCCTATTATTTTAGTATTACATCCAAAAAGGCTGCCTCAAGAACTGAGAACATAAAGCCTGCTGGATATCAAGAATGGTTAAATCTTCATCCCAGAATCAAAAACTGGTTCCTTAAATGGCAGCTATCAGTATTGTTGTCTTTAATAGGTACCAGCTAAACTGAGATGACTTGACAAGTTATAGAATTTATACATAAGTTAATCAACATCATTGTGAAAACTGAAGTGTAAATTTGTCTTTCCTTTTTTGTTTTTTCAACCTTGTCGGGTGCTATTAAGCTCACAGGAAAAAAAAAGTTGCAGTGTGCTTAATCAAGTGCCCTGTTTCTTTGCCGTTTCCCATGTAATTGAAATGCAATTTAGTTTTTGCAATATTTGGTGATCTTGGAGAAACGAATATGATTTTATTTAAGAGAGTAAATCCATGATGTGTTCTCAGTTAGATGTGATGAGAGTCTGGGTTTGGAAAGGAGAAAGGAAAGGTAAGGGATTCCTGAGAGAACAGAGACTGTTAGAGGTGGGACTTCTTACAGAGTAGCCAGTATGAGCTGCCCTTGCACATTGCAAGGATGGATTTTTCCACTTTGGCATTGCAGTAGACCCAGGCATCAACTGGAACCAGGTGTCAGACATCGGTGAAGGTAAATCTTCCAGAAAGAGAACAGAAAATAATTATGAAACACTGTTTAATCCGTGCAGACCTTCCACTATGTCGTCTGTTAAATTGCTGCTTCAGTGCACTTCAGGATATGACTCAACAATTTTAAGTACATCATACTGCTAAAAGCTACAGTCATTTGGTCAAGAATCAGCACCAAAAACTTTAAAATTATTCACCTTTCTGGCTTCTGGGAGAAATTCTGTAATTACAGTAAAATTTAAATATGTCATTGTTGGAGAGCTGTAAAATGCATGAACACGTGTTCAGAACTATAAATATAATGTTCTTAAAGTCAAGTTAATCTTTGCCTTTTTTGACATGATATCTATTAAGCTTAAGAACATACCTCCTCACCAGTTTTTTTTCTTTTTACCATTTGGCAAACATCTGATGGAGAGAGTAATATCACTTCCTCATTTGTTAATGAAGCCACTTCATAGTACCACTATGACTCTGGAATAGCATGTGATGATAAAATGTAAAGCACAAAATACATCATTTTTTCATGAGCCCGTGAAACAAAATAGTCCTTATGTCTTTTTAATGAAGGGATTCCTCTGTAATGAACACAATATATGGGCATTGCTCTTTCTTCAACAGACTTCATAGATTTGAAGGTAAGTTAGCTTCTTTTTCAGAAGTTTGGGTTTATACACCATACCATTCTGTTTTGTTTGCCTTGTGTTTGTCAAGTCCATTTGACTATCTCTTCAGTTGTTTTAAAGTGTATCTCATTAGTAACTCTTCCAGCAAAAATGTAATTCACTTGCTGCTGGTTTTGCTCCTGTGTTTAAAATTGAACTGCATCACTACTACATTAACAGTAACAAGGACTTAAGTCAGCACAGGACACGTGTAATGCAGCAATACACTGGGTGGGTATTAACCTCAGGATGTGCACTATAATAGTTCAAACTTCAGTTTTGGGGTTTCATTCCAGCTTTATCATATGGAATATTCATTCTTCTGTGGCACTCAGTACATGCATTGAAATTGTTAAATAATTTAGCATATTAAAATATAAATTAAAGTGGGATTTTAAAAGTTCATGTTAAACTCCTCCTCTTTAGAATTAGAAGTAATGCATTGAGATGTAGCATTTTCCTAATGTCAAACCTGCGAACATTTAGCAGGTAAAATGTGTCTGATCAGTAGAATGGATAAGTACTTTTGCAGTCAGGTTGCTTGTGTTGTTAAGGCCATCTGTATGTGCTCTTAACTTTATAGAAATTACTTCAGTAGAAATCAAACGGGGGAGCATTTGAAAAATGCATTATATGGAAATTCTACATGTAGCTGTTCACCTTCCTTCTAAAGAAAAGATTTTTTATAGCATGTTTGGTTTTCAAGCTGTGCTTCTGAGTAATCTCACTGAAGTCAGAGGATTTGCTCATGCAGCTGGGATATGTAAGTATCTAGTGTTACAGTTTGAAAATTCTGTCATCCATTTATCCATCAGTGCTTTTTACCAGCACTGCAGTTTATTCCTCTGCCTAGCAATTGCTCTGAATTCTAATTCATACATGGCTTTTATACGTGACTGTCTTGCAATGAATTAAACTCGTTTGTAGAATATTTTCCAAAATTCTCAAGAGTAAAGACTGTTCTCTTGTCCCCAAATCTTGGTGCTTGCCTTCCTTCTATCTTCTTGGAACTGGCAGAGGAGAGGGAGGATTGCCTACGCTGATGGGTGAAGAATCGTGTAATGATTTTCATATCTCAGGCTTTCAGAAACTTGCATACCAATTGACATAGGGAAGTAGATAAACTTTTTTATCATTTGAGATAGTTCAAACAACTTTTTACAGTACAAGAAATGAAAGAAATCAAGTTGTGTTTATGCTCAACAGTAATGCAGTTTCAGCATTCAGTCATTAATTCACAACCAAATTTTTTTTTTGCCTAGAGTAACTTCTTGTATGTATGTCTCAAAAGGCACATTTTCTGCCATTTTCACTTTAATGTGTGTTTTGCTGACTTAGGACTTAACAATAATTTCTCAATCTGAACTTCTGAATTTTCTTTTACAAAATAAGTAACTCTTGAGTGTTCAACCTCAAATCTAGTCCTTCCCTTTAAACTGGTGCTGACTCATCTATTTTAGATCTGTCAAAAAAGGCTTTATCTTATCCCCATTGCTTACTTGATGACACCAAGAAACCTTTGCCTCCTGGGCTGGAGACAGCTGGGCAGATGTTTGGTGTGTGGCCACCCTTCCTGTCCTAGAGGTTACCCCTAGACTTTGACCATTCCAGGAGCTGTTTTGAGACAAATAGTAATCCATTTTGCTTCACCAGCTTTGTGTGGGGTCCAAACCCAATCAGGGGGTTGGTTAGTGCACATCCTGGATTTTAAGTTTCATCAATATCTTCTGCAGTAAAATCACAGGTGAATTCCACTGCCCTTTTTTCACTCATCTGTGGCTGTTACACAATGTTGTTCTGAACTAGTCGTATAAACATTTGTGTTCAAGAATGTAACTCCTGCAGCTAAAAGGGGTCATACCAGTACAGTTCCAGAGAGAAGTTTTTAATGCTGCTGACTGTCCTGCTATTATAATCTGCACCAAAAATCTGCATGTATCACCCTGCTTCTGTGTAGCAGTAACCATGCTGTTTGATGCTGTATTAAACTGCACTTAAACCTGGTATCCATAAGTATTTGCCACAATCTAATTGCTGTGTATTCAAGGTAGTTAAAAGCTGTTACTGTAGAGTCAATGGGTTCAAATCCTTGTTGTATGTATGAGGAAATTCCTGTGAGTTCAACCTGCTGAACATGATGTCGATGGAACTGTTAGTATACCAGTAAAGGGAAGAACAAAACCTTTTTCACACTGATGGCAAATGATTCTCTTTTCAAGCATCACAGAGCTGCTGCTAAAACAAGGGAAGAGGAATCAAGATAATTGACAGCTTCTGTGGATGAGTGCACAGCATAAAGTACAAATAACACGGCTGACATAAGCTTTAAAAAGCACTGATTGCCAGCTTGGGAGTAGCATCATCAATAATTGGATTGTAAGTAGCAATTGCAGTGTTCTTAAATCAAACCATCACCTCCTGTGGCTTTATGAAGATTTTTAGGTTAATATAAAAGAAGGCTTTGAGCTATATTCCCTTAACAGATGTTGGAAATTAATGTTACTATTCCTACAGTTGAGTTTGCAGAAGAGACTTTCTTCATCACTTGTCTGTGAAGTTTAGTTTCTTTGCCTTTTTTTTTTTCAAGCTAAGAAAAAACAGGATTTGAAAATCTCAGGGATTGTAACAAAGATAAAAGGGAGAATTAACATGTGCAAATGGTCCAAGAGTACAACTTGAGTTAATAACTATAAGAAGGCACTGAGAATCTATTGATTACTTGGCATTGCACTTTCCTAAGGCTGTTTCCCTTGTCTGTAAATTTTTAATAGCCTCCTGATTCCTGTGGCAATTAAATTACACTAAGGAAAATTATTGGGTTGGTAATTTCCACATGTTGGAAAGCTGTTTGCACACTATGGGCAACAGGTTAAGAAACTGTGATAACTGTTTGCAAATGAATGAGCTGCCAAATTGTGTCAGTGTTGGAACTGAAGACACCTCACTACCAGCAGCATTCCTGTACTTAGAATAGTTTCTAAAATAAAATACCAAGCATGTAGAAAGCTTGTGCAGAGAACCTTTGAATCTGTGTTTTCAAGGTACCTATTGCATCTGGTTGCTTTTTCTGACGATATTTAATTTTCTCTTGCAACAATTGCTGCATGTTTTATTCATTGGCTGTCCTGTAGCCTGTCATCCTCACTGCTGTGGGTGAGGAAGAAATAATTACTGTCTGTATTTTGTGAATATACTACTGGTAGCAGCCCAGTTTAGTTTCTCTCTGCTATTAGATCATCCCAGTACACATAAACCAAATCTCTATGGTGTTACAGCTTGCAAAGTAGATTCTAGTACATTATTAAACATATCCACAAGGCTTTGTGTACTTTGTTTTTCAAGCAAACAGTTTTAAGGCACCTACCAAAAGTGGTTGTTTAACACACACAACCCCACCCAATTCTATCCAGAGAAATAACTTAGGCAGTCTTACTCTAATTTTTCCTCTCCAGAGAGTTTTCAATTGTCTCTTTCCCCCCCCCCCACCCTTTTTTTTCAGTACTGTCCATACAGCAGCCATAAGTTAAGGCTCTTCTGCCTTGGTTTTCCATGGAAATAAGTATGCCCTCCCTACCCTTTCCATTGGAATAGGTTCACTCCACCCTTCAGGGCTTTGCTGGAGGGTTTGATGGAATCAGTGTCATCCAACCACCCAGCACATTCAGTCCCTACAGGTCCTGTTAGTTTACATTGCTGGAGATGACAGAATTATGAAGTCACACACATCCCTGCTGACTCATCTAAATGAGCCTGCACTGGTTGAGTGGTGGACTTTGTTGTCAGATGTGCAGTGAGAACTATAAAACGCAGACAAAAATGCAGACATGACCTTGCCATAGTGGCCACCCTTCAGATTTAAAAAAAGCCACTACTGAACATGCAGACAAGTGGTGCTCAAATCTGTGTTAAACATTGCAAATTTAGCAATAATAAACAGGCAAAACCACTCTAAAAAGACAACAGAAGAAGTATGTAAGAAGGAGGCACAGGGAAAGTGTTGTATTGATCCCAGTTTTTTCTGGTAGCTTCCCAACACAACCATCTCTTAAATACTTATATTTTCACTAAGGATAGCCTCATTGATAGTACACCAAGTTGGATGGAGGAAAAACTACCTCATGAAAGAAAAAATATCAAGTATTCTTGTGACAGTGTTCCCAGGGGTTCTTGGATGAGGCAAGAGACAAGAATGTTGACTCCATGTTCAGAAGGCTTGATTTATTATTTTATGATATATATATATATTACATTATAACTATACTAACAGAATAGAAGGAAAGGTTTCTTCAGAAGCTAGCTAAGAATAGAATAGAAAAGAATGATAACAAAAGGCAGCTCTCCGAGATAGCTCCGTCTTGATTGGCCATTAATTATAAACATCTAAGATGGGCCAATCACAGATGGACCTGTTGCATTCCACAGCAGCAGATAAGCATTGTTTACATTTTGTTTCTGAGGCCTCAGCTTCTCAGAAGGGAAAAAGTCCTAAAGAAAAGGATTTTCACAAAAGATGTCTGCGACATATTCTTGCTCCAGCAGCCACAGGATGTATTACTGGTTTTAAATCCATGAATGACAAGAAAGCAGATATGCATTTCTGAGAGAAGTGAGTTTGGTGGACAGCAGAAATCAAAAGGTTGTCTGCCTAGGGACCTTT